TTTGTAATATACTTGAATTCATATATTTCTGTTTGTATTCAATTTTTAGTCCCCTCCCCCATCTTTGCTGATTTTATCTTGCTTTTTGAATATGTAGAACATTATCACATTTCCAAAAGTCACACCTAGGAAAGAAGTATACCCTGAGAAGGGTCATACCTTCTCCTACCCCTTCTACCTTTCCCTTCCATCTCTTAGTAGGTAATCTCATTGCTTTCCAGTTTATTACTATTCCATATTCGAGTATGTGTTTTGCCAAAATAAGTAGATACATGTATGTTTTCTTATTTCTCCCTTTTTCTTACAGAAAAAGTAGCAGATGATATATACTCTTTTGCATTTTGATTTTTTTTTTCATTTAATAACATATCCTGGAAATCACTCTCTATCTGTTCATAGAAGCTTTCCTTATTCTTTTTTGTAGTCTTGCCAACAAAATGTTTTGTCAGGCTTTTGATTTTTTGTCAGTTGATTGGGGTGGTGGTGGGATAAATAGTATCTCTGTAGTTTTAATTTACTACTCTATGATGAGTGAAGTTGAATGTCTTTTCATATGTTTATGAGCTCTTTTGAGACCTTTACTATCAATTATCTGTTTATACTTTTGCCCATTTTTATAGGATTTTTTTTTCTTCAATGTTTAAGTTCTTTATCTATAGTAAAGGGTACTATCAGGGATAGTACCCTTTTATCTATGATGTGTGTGGAAATAATTTCTTCCAATTCATCATGTATGTTTTTTAATTGTGGTGTTAATAAAATATACTTAACACAAAATATTCCATCTTAACCATTTTTAAGTGTGTAGTTCTGTGGCATTAAGTACATTCACCAGCCATCTCCAGAACTTTGTTCTCATCCCAAACTGAAACACCATACACATTAAAAAAAATAACTCCCCATTCTTCCCTCACGTGAGCCCCTGGCAACACCATTCTACTTTCTGTCTCTATGAGTTTGACTACTCTAGGAACCTCCTATAAGTGAAATTATATAGTATTTGTCTTTTTGTGTCTGGCTTATTTAACTTAGCATAATGTGTTCAAGATTCATCCATGTTATGGTACATATTAGAATTTGCTTTCTTTTTAGGCTGAAAAATATTGCATTGTATGAACATAGCACATTTTATTTATCAATTTATCTGATGATGGACACTAGGGCTGCTTCCACTTTTTGCCTACTGTAAATAATGCTGCTATAAACATGGGTGTACAACTGTTCAATTCCCTGCTTTCAATTCTTTTAGGTATATATTCAGAAATGGAATTTGCTGGACCATATATAGTAATTCTATGTTTCAATTTTTGAGAAACTGCTGTACTATTTTCCATAGCAACTGCACCATTTTATATTCCCACCAACAGTGCACAAGGGTTTTAATTTCTCCACATCCTTGCTAACATTTGTTATTTTCTGTTTTTAAAAAGTGTTTTATATAATAGCTATCCTAATTGGTATGAAGTGGTAACTCACTGCATTTTTTTGTTTTGTTTCATTTTTCATAATCAACATAGGAGGTAGATTCCAGTTTGTTCTCATGAATTCTAGCTGTTCCCCTGAGATCCACTTTAACCTTGCAGGTTTCTACTTTGTCCTTGCAATTCCTCCTGTCACATCTGGCTTTTCTTCTGACTGCCAGGTCTGTAAACCACAGTGACTTCAGGCCAGCCCTCATATACAATGGAAACAAACGTCTATATCTCTAACATTATACAAAGTTTAATGCCCATCATACATACCTCATTCCATATCACTGATAATGATTTACTTCTGTGATCAATTCCTAACTGATACGCAGTTGACATATGTTCATTGGGAGCTGAGGCTTTTTTTTTTTTTTTGCTATAAATTGTCCCTCTTCATCTCCTTTGTGCTTCTCAGCCTGTCCTACTTTGTTTGATAGTAGGATCACAGCTCCTGCCTCTTTAGAGTTGGATTTTCCTTTATGGCCACATTTGAAAAACTTTTCTTTTAAAAGGCAAATTAAGCCCATTTGTAAATTGATATGACTGATACGGTTTGGTTCAGCTCTGTCCTACTGTGTCCTACCAAAGTTATCACATGTATCGTGCTATACTCATTGTGTCTCTTTCACTATTTGGTGCCGTATTCCTTGCTATGTTTAGAATTTTTCTTCTGGGGTTTTGGAGTAGAGTCCAATAGTTGGGAATATTGATATTTTGTTTTAGGGGTTAGGTTTTTATTTGTATTTTTCTATTACCCTTAATTCATTTTTGTCGTTGTTGTTATTGTTTCTAACCTTTTAGCGTCTGGCCTGTGAGCTTTATACAGTATCCTTTCACACCTATCTATTTCTGATAGAATAGTGAGTGCTATTATTCTACATTCTTTTTGCTCTCTCCCCTCTCTTTCAATTGTTTTTAGTTACACCTGTTCTCCTTCATTAGGAAGTATAATGTGTATACACTAATATATTAATACCTATTGAATATATAAAATTCTCTCTTTTCATCATTTTTCTGGCTTCCTCAGTTATCTCTCGCTCAGAAGAAGCTCATTGCCTAAGATTCCTCGGGGAAGGCTCATGTGTATGGTGTTCTCTGAATTTTTGCACTCATTTCACGTCTGTTTGCCAAGGCTACATATAAAAATTCTTGGCTGGTACTTTCTTTCCTTAAGTTTCTTATAAATGCTGCTCCACTGTTGCACTGCTTTGCATGTTGCTCACAAGAGGTTTGATGCCAGCTTAAATTTTTATCTCTATAAGTAATTTGATATGTTCTGCCTTTAAAATCTAATAGTTTTTACTAAGATACATTTTGGAGTGGATTATTCCATACCATTTTTTCCAGGATACCTAGCAGGTACTTTTGATATAGAGATTGAAATTTACTTTATTCCTGAATTATTTTCTGGGATTACTGTTTGAATTCTGTTTCATTGTTTGGCATTTCTACTTTAGTGACTCCAGTTATGTGTATTTTGGCTCTTCTTTCCTGGCTTTCATTTCAACCATTTCTCTCTGACTTGCCCTTTTACTTCTTTATCTTATTTTCAATTTCTTGATTATTTTCTTGCCATTCATCAATGTCCCTTTACATATTTTGTTTGGATATATTCTCCCCTGGGCATCTTGTAATTATTCTTTGTTCCTGGGATAGTTTTTGCCTTTATTTTCAATTTCTTTCCTGAATTCAGTCAAGTCTTGTTGCATTTATTTTTAATTTTTGTCTGGTCTGTTCTTAGTTTTTGAATTCTGATTTCTAGCTATATGTGTGTGTGTGTGTGTGTGTGTGTGCGTGCATGTGTATATGTGTGTATCCAAATTATTATGAATACATGACACTGTTCAGTTTGATGCGTGGTATTACACTTTTCTTCTGCTTCATGGTTTTTATTGGGGTGGATTTCATCAGCTGAATTATTATGATTCATTTTTTCATCATCAGAAATGTGATTAATTTCCTGTTTTCTTTTTGTATCTTTGTATGCTGTTGATTTGATGTTTTTCTGTTACTATGTGTTTTGAGGCAGGTTCCCAGGTCAAGAGAGCTCTCTTTTATTTGTGTACTGAAGAGCAGTTTTTAATAGATAACATTGCTGTTTGGGAGAGGACTGTCTTCTGTTTTATTTCTATAAGATCTTTAATTTTTCCTTCTGACTTTCTTCTTTTAGCTTGCTGCCAGGCCTCTGAAGGGCATTACCTTTTTTTCTATTTATCTGACTTTTCCCCAGAAGCGAGGCTTCTTCAAGGCTGCCAACTTTTGTTCCATTTTCTTTCAAATCTCTTTCCTTGATCAATGAAGTTCCCAACCTGTGTTCAGTTTTCAGTTCTTGGCGTTGGACTTTCTCTTTATAGAGGAGACAAGCCCATGCTTCACTTAAGTTCCTGGCAATCGTGGAGGGAGCTCCGTTGGAATTTGATGTCTTTTTCTTCCTTCTGCCTAAGTAAATTCTAGTTCAGTTCATGGCATTCTCTCTCAGCATTGCTGAAGGCTTGTTTGTGTTTTTGTTTTGTTGAGGAAGTGCGCAGAGATTTACATTCAGGCAGATGCCATTATCCCCTAGGCTGGGAAGCTCCTGAAAACATTTAATATATCAAGTACTAAGTAACATTTCTTTCATAGGAACACTGGAAACTTTGCATGTTACAAGGGCACCACCAAGGTTACACAGCTTCTGTTACAAGAGGGATCTGTTTTCTTGTATCCTTTAAAGACCCCTAGTGTACTGAAAGCAACTAACGAAAAGATTTTTAAAATATATAGTGTCTTCCTTCTTCCTCATTTCGTGTTTATTTAAAACAGCAACACCCCTGCTATTAAGAGTTCTGGGCATCCGCAGAAAAATGTTTCTTTTAAAATTGCCTTCACGGATTCTACCTCGAGTGAGGCTCGCACCTCTGCCTAAATTAATAAATTAATTAATTGACTCCGGGGGGTCAGAGATGTTTTGTTGCAAGATTAGCAAGAACACTGCAGCGAAGTCCGGGAGGGGGTTTTGCACTAAAAAAGTCAGGTTCGTTGGCCAATAAGAGAGAGCGTGTTAAGAGTGTGAGGTGGTCCCAAAGACCAAGGACTGAAGAGGTGACACTCTGGGTAGGAAAGGGCTGAGGCCCCCAGAGCCCCAGTCCCTGTGTGCGTGTGCACGGCTGTGTGCGCACGTGCGCGCGCGCTCCTCCGGGGTCCCGGGGCAGCCACCTGTCACTCACGGGGGAGGGGACGGCCGGCGGCCCGGCGCACGCAGAGGGGCGGGGCGGCGACCAGGCTCCCCCGGCGGAGCGTGGCGTGCCGCAGCCATGGAGACGCGGCGGTCCCCTCCCGCGGCCCGCGCCCCGGCCCCCGCAGGCGCCGCCGATTGGTCGCCCTCTGCTCCCTGACCCCCTCGCCGCCTCGGGGCCGCCGCTTCCTGCTCGGGCGCCGCGCGGCGCTGCCGGCCCGGGGCGGAGCTCGGGTGCCCAGTGCGCGCCGCCGCGCAGCAGCCCCGGCGGGAGGAGGAGCCGCCGCCGCGCCCTTCCCCTTCCTGCGCTCCGCCGCCCAGCGCCCGCGGCCGGCCCAGGCAGCACTCGCGAGCAGCGGCCGCGGCCGGCGGCCGAGTCGGGAGAATGCGGCGGCGCTCGCGGATGCTGCTCTGCTTCGCCTTCCTGTGGGTGCTGGGCATCGCCTACTACATGTACTCGGGGGGCGGCTCCGCGCTGGCCGGGGGCGCGGGCGGCAGCGCCGGCAGGAAGGTGAGTGAGCGCCCGCCACGGCCGGGCCCCCGGGCCACCCCTCCGCGCCCCTGCCCCGCCGGGCCCGCCGCTCCCGCGCTCCCCTGCCCGGACCTCCGCCCGGCCCCGGCCTCCCCGCGGGCGCCCGGGCCGGAGTGCGCCGGCCCCTCTGCTCGCCCCGGCTCCGGAGAGGGCGCCGGCTCAGCCTTTCTTCCCCTCACCGCCCGCGACGTCGCCCCTCTCCTTGCTCCACGTAGTTGGGGTCTGGCCCGGCCGCGGGGGTCCTCATCCCCTGCGGTGGGAAGTTTAGGGATGGGGGTGTTGGGAAGCACAAAGCGGGTGGGAGGAGAGAGGCGGCCGCCTTCCCAGCGCGTCGTGTACATCAGGGGAGAGGAGTCCAAGTTTCTTTTCAGCCCTTCCACACTAGCGGCTGCAAATCCTCACCCTCTGCCCCTTGTCACTCCGCGGGGGGTGGGCTCCAGGCTTCAGCCACCTTCTCTGCTCCTTGTGTTCAGGGGGTGGGGGCGCAGCCACCCCTGTGCCAAATAAAATCCCGGGCCGGAGTAAACAGGGGCCACCGCGCCCCTGCGCCCCGAGCGAGGCCGGGCACGGCCAGCCCCTCGCGGCCCCTGCGCTACTCTCTGCCCTGCCGGGCCCAGCCTCGCGCCGGCCGGACGTGGCCTCCTGCGCTTACACGGATGGGGTCCCTCTTCGGTGGGTGTGTTTCGACCTGCTCCAGGGGCCGCGTGATTAGGCTGTGGCGCGCGCGTGAGCCTCTGTGCGGTTCCACGGCCTCGTCCCGCACTCCGGACGGCCCCCCGGGTCTGCTGGTAGAATTGCGCCCGGGACAAGCCTGGATGGCGCGGTCCTGCGGCCGTGCGCCACCGCCACCGGGAAAGCAGGGCTTCTGGCGCTGGGCTTGTGCACATGCGGGTCGAAGGGGTTTGTGCTGTTTTATTGGCTAAGCGGCTTTGAAAGCAGCGTTATCTTTTCCAAAAATCCCATAACCCTCATTCCTGTGATGTTTAGTCTCGCCGCAAGCCCAGGAAATTGTGAGTTAGCGGAGGTGGAGCACGGCTTAGGTTGGACAAGGGAATGGTGTCCCGGAACAAACCAAACTGGACTGACTACATGGACAGACTTTAGCCTTGAAGTCAGACCCCTAAGTGTCAATGCTGAGATTTGGCTGCTTTAGAGGTTTCCTTCATTGCTTCATTCATTCATTCATTCATTGCCAGCTGAAGGTATTGGTTGGAGGTTGGTGTCTTACCTGGCTTTTGGTATTTCTCATGGATTTGCTTTATCTAGAGGGCAGAAATGAAAACAGTCTTTCCGTGTGCTGAATTGGCCTAGCTTGCATCTGAGCTGATTTGGTACTCTCAGCCTTGTTTTTTTTTTTTTTTTTTTTTTTTTGTGAAATTGTACGTGTACGTGAAGACCCCGTTTATTCCTGAACAATAAAGAGCATACAGCCGGTGGAAGCAGTGTGGTCCTTGGAAAACTATGTTCATGTTAAACTGGAATGATTTTAAAAACTTTGCTTTCCGGTAAACTGCGCCTTGGCTACTCCATATAGCCTGGTGTGCTGGTGAGACCTGGCAAAGCTTTTTGCCTTTTCTGCAAAGAGGACCAAACACATACACCACCCTTGGTGTTCCTCCTTCCTTGGTCTGCCACTTTCATTAGTACAGGTGATTAGAAACAGCATGTGTGTGTTAGCTTCCCAGGCGCTGGTTTCTCACTCTGGTGGGCTTCAGTTGTTGGATGCTTTAAGGCAGCGGTCCCCAACTTTTTTGGCACCAGGGACTGGTTTCATGGAAGACAATTTTTCCACGGATTGGTGGGGGAAGAGAGGCGGGAGCTCAGGCCAAAAATCAGGCGGTGATACAAGCAATGGGGAGCACCTATAAATACAGATGAAGCTTGCTCACTCACCTCCTGCTGTGCGGCCCAGTTCCTAAGTTTCCTGGAAGACAATTTTTCCACCAACAGGGAGTAGATGGGGGAGGTAGAGCTCAGGTATGATGTGAGGACCAGTTAGTAACAGGGCTGGACTGGTACCAGGCTGAGACCCGGGGGCTGGGAACCACAGCTTTAAGGGGTCTTCCATGTTGCAGTCTTCGGACACCTGGGAGGTATGATTCTTAGTTTAAAAAATCCAAGAATTCCTTGTGGTCTGGTGGCAATACTGACACCATGTAGAAAAAGTGGGGGGGAAATGAACAATTACACATGGATTGGTGATTTGGGATTCTATTCTTTCTGTCAACGAAGCATAAAATTTAATCCTAGCCTTTAGAATGATTTAGTGATTTGTCGGTTGAGGAAGAAGTATATAAATGCGATAACTTTTGAAATTGCAGTACAAGACTCATTAACTTAGTGCGGTGAACCCCGAGACAAGAGGGGAAGCCCTAAGTTTCTGGAGGGGTAAGTGGAACCCTGCTGTCCTCAGTCACTGGTCTGTAGGAAAACTGCATAGTCTTCTCCCCTCCTGAATTGTCCCAGTGGGTTTAGACATTAGAAGCCTCTCCAAACTTAGTTCATCCTCATGATAAAAGAAAATATGTGGTCTGTTTGGCTTATAAAGTATGGACATGAAAAAGATGGCAGGCCAAGCATGGAAAAGCAGAATTTAAATATTAGCTATAGTTTTTTGTTTTTTTTTTTCCTGAGATAAGTAGATTTATATTTATCCTCTTGTTTTATACTGTTCAAGTCAGGGCTCTCATTCCGTGTTTAGCCAATTTCTCCACATCCTGACGTTTTCGCAGGGTACCAGGCTGCAGTAGCAGGCTTTGGGGATTGTCTGAGGGGAGTCTGATAGGATTTCTGCTGCTTCAGCAGCCCAAGCTGGGCTCGGCATTGTGTGCCCTGCCTGTTAAATAACTCATCACAGAACTGTTATTCTCCATTTGGCAAAACTCAGAAAGCCAGCTCACCTCAGATTGCAGATTTACTAAACGAAACGGGAGTGAGTGCTGAAAACCAACTGCAGGCGCTGCTGCGCAGCTCAGTGCTGAGGGTCAGGATACGTGTGTTAAAGCAGTTGATGCATAATATTGTTTAAAATTACTTTTCATTTACATTTCTGCTGATACCCCTCCCCCCATATTTTGCTCTTTCCCCCTAAATTGACGATTTGCACTTCAAGGATGCCTTTCCTTTGAGCATCTTAAATGCTTTAAAATTTCCATCACGTTAAGTCTCCCCTGGGCCCTGGTATGTTGGCAGTGGATGGAGCCTCCGAAAAGAGGATGGGATTTCTGTTGAGAGGAAGCTGCCTCTGGGTGAAGTGTGGCTGTCCAGGATGGAAGGGGAAGGGTTTTCCAGTATGCGAAGAGTGATCTCTGCTGAAAGCGTGTGCGGAGCCCAAGACCCGGTCCCTCCCTGTGTTCCCTGCATGCATGGAGGTCAGAGAAAGCTGAGCAGGGCCCACGCAGCTTGTTCACTTTCCACGGCAGCATCACCCTCCTTCACCGAGCTGGCACAGATGCTGCAGCGCTGGCCTGGGAGCCCAGGGGTGGGGGACATTGGGCAGGATCTTGTCTGCAGCAGGGGGAGGGTACGGGGGAGGGTGCAGGTCACTTCTCAGAAGGGTGAAGAACCTCATGTGGTTGGAACATGGTCCTCATGTGGGGCAGCATCAGGGTGTAGAATTGGAGGAATTTGGAACTCAGTTGTAGAAAGCTTCAGATGCCAGACTGACTTACCTACTGGTCCTTAATTTGGTTGACCTCAGGGAACCAGTAACATTTTGAGCTGGGTAGTCAACACCCAAATGGAGGGAAATTTCACAGATCCACTTCTTGGCACTGAGACCCTCTGCCTCTTTCTGCTTAGTGACTTTTACTGATTTATGAACCTCCTGACCCTCAGTTTCCTCCTCTTTATAGTAGGGATAATTATTCTTACCTTGTGGCCTTTTTTGGGGAGAATTAAATACTATTAGTAGGTGCTTGCAAACAGTGGGTGTTGAATAACTGGTATCTAAAAAAAAAAAAAAAAGAAAAAAGAAAGAAAGAAAAGTTTAAATATTCCTTTGAAAATTTAGTGAACCAGGAATCTTAAATGTCTTTTTGATTTCTGGAAAATTATTTCCAGTAATAGTTTTTTGTTTTTTTTTTTAATCCCTCATTCATACTTTTGAGATTGATCTGATTGGTTCGTTTGGAGCTTGTGCTGTGAGCCTTGATGCTGCCAAGGACTGGCTTTTTGGAAAGTGGTCCAGACGCCGTGCCAGCGCTCTTGTACCCAGGTGTGGTGTCAGACTTCCCAGTAGCGGGCGGCCGGCAAGAAAGTGGGCGCAGGGCGCAGCGCGTTGCTGCTGGTTAAACAACAGGAGTGGCACTGATGGACGTTTCCCTGAGTAGGGATTTCTTGTCGTGGGGAGATGGCTCTGGGCTCCCCCAGCTGCCCTCTCCTCTGCAGCCCTGCTCCTCTTGTTGGAAGGGGTGGTGGCTGTGATCACTGTCGCTGTGTGCGGTTTGAGCTGCAGCGGGAGGCCGCCATGCAGTTTAAGGTTGGCGGCAGATCTGGGAGCGTGTCCGTGGGTGGACGTGAAAGGGGAGACCCGTGCAACTCCTTGCCATGATAGGTTCAGAATTTAAAGAATGTCCATTTGAAATGAGAGTTTGAAGTTGAGGTAGGGAGGACAGTAGCGGGGCAAGCATACTGTAGAGCCAGAGAATCTGACAAATGGTACTGTAATACAAACTTCTCTCTTTAAAGAAAATAAAGTTTCCCTTTTCTGGAGTTATGCTGTGGCTGCCTCCGGGTGCTCAAGCATAATGGAAACAGATTGTGACTGCTAAACAGTGCAAAAGTAACGAGCTCTTCCCTGGACCTCCTAGCAAAAAGTGAAAAAGAAGCTACGGTACCCAGCACCGAATGGAGCTGACTTGCCTGGGCTCTGTCAGACCTGGCCTGGCGGGTGGGGACACCTGGGAAAACGGGAAGGTGGTGTGGGGGCTTCGGGCCCTCTGCACATCTCTCCAGCTGAGCTCCTGGGGTGGCAGGTC